CTCGCAGGCTTTATTTATACCCAAAGCTACCGTATTATTGGATCACCCCCGTCCGAAGTAAACGTGCCTTATGCTGGCTTACAACGCGGCTTTCTATTTCGTGAATGCCCGACTTCTATCCACCTACTCGGTGTCCAGAAGACATACGCGGCTAAAGGATTTTATCGGAATCGCGATGATTTCATTTGAATGATTTTTCCGAAATTTTTGCGAAATAGAAAGCTTTTGCAGTTTTGTTGCATGTTGGAAATTCTTATTTTGCTAAACTCGTACACTAAGTGCATCACAAAACTAAGAGCCATGACATGGTTAGCGTTTATCGTACGCCAATCATAGAATTGCAAAAGCATTTAATATACATAGACCTTTGCACTTGTTCCTAACCGAGTAATTTCTACTTATGTGTTATCAAAGGTGTCGTTCTATCGATACGACATTTTGCAATCGTAGAGGTCTCCGATAAACGCATTAACGAGCATGATATACTGCAAAAGCTACCTAATATTCTGAATTTCTCCAGGTAATATTAATCTGATAATTCTGCTTAGATTGCAAACTGTCCTGTTAACATCAATGTCTACGTTATGTTTTTGCGACACGTTCGAGGCGCGCGAAATTATCAGTGAAACGGATACGAAAACGCGGCGGTAATTTGTCGAGATCGGCTGAAGGGTTAGACCGAAAATTGGGGTCAAAGCAGTAACGCAGAAACGAATTCACGAAAGCGTAATATTTATGGGACTATTGAAAGAATCCGGTGTCTTCCGTAACTCTTTAACGCTCTAACGCCACGCTTAGGATTCCGGTCGCGTTGATTTATTTGCCGACCGTCTCATCGTAAGCAGGCGCGTGAGGAACGCGTCAGCGAGATGATCGTAAAGCCGACAACAGTTTTGGGTGGTCCTTAGATATATATATATTTTCAGATAGAAAATATCCGTAGATTGGAATAATAGTATCGCATAATATCGGCTGTCGGCTGCTGCAACTTGTATTTCGGCGGTGCTTCGTCTTTAACAGAGACTTTTAGAAAAATTTGTATTTTTTTTAATTAATTTTATGATACAAATAAAGATGAAATTATATCAATTATATCAGCACTTATGATATCGTGAAAGATTATCAGAAAAGAAATTTTTGCGTAAAGCGATTTTTGATCTATTCGTTGAATTAGCGCGAGTGTTCATAAGCGCATGGCATCGCGAAGGGGAGGAACGGCCGAAGCGAGAATTAAAGTGGTAAAGGCTGTACCTCGATGGCTGTACGTCTGGATAATCGTCCCTCTTCCCCCTCTCCTCTAAGGAATGCACCGGTGCAAATCTGCATTCTATGGATGGCGCGAATGCTTGCGGCGGCGCGTGGTTCCCATATCTCTTGGCATCCGGAAACTTTACAATTAACATAAGAATTCGCAGCTGATGCGTGGGAGGCCGGGATAATGAATTTGGTTCGAGGTGTCGAGCATTCCCGCTATGTCTACACGCGCCAATACACACATAAACGTTCGCGTAAGTAGACTCGCGTCTCAAATCGATGGGATTACATAGGAAATTAATAACGTAAGTAGTGATACCATATCATCGTCGTGAGTTTTATTGCAATCGTAAAAGACGTCTGCCGCGAGATTTACTGTGTTTACTGTGCAAACATTTGGGAACACTGGAATATGATAGATAGCTCTAGCAACCTCAGCGGTGTTTCGACGCGTTAATCACTTGTACATTCGTACACATAAGATCTATATAAATCATGACATTTGCTTCAGATTAATAGAAACTGCGTAATTTTTAACGGAAAAAAAAACAGAAAAATAGCTGTAACTATCTAAAGAATTTCATTGTCAGCACGTCACTTGATATAAAGATGGACAAAGACGAGAAAAATGAAGAAGAATATATAAGTTTCTAATTTTTATCGTGACTCTGTGTCGCTGTACCGTTAACGTGGAGTTCTTAGCTGAATAATTGGGAGCCTTAAATATTTTATTTCCACGTCTGTTTGCAAGTCATGAAATTGAATGTATTTCATTTCACTTTGAATGTATTTCAAAGTTATCTTCTCGAGTTTCATTTTACGTTTTCCCCGGGCTACATATCGCTATTAATTACGCGGTGTTGAAACTCGAAACTTCTCGACGGATGCTCGACCTCACGGGGTTAAGAAATTAGCCATCGTGGCGCAGCGTAGTTCACCGAAGCGAAATAACGACCAGTAGCTTCCAGAAATGCGAAACACGGTGGGAATTCGCGTAAGCGCGATCGACCACGAGCCACGAAGTCGTAACCTGCCGTGCCATCGGCTACACGGGACAACTATGCACGTGCGCAACTATGCACGTGTGTCGTGCTTGAGAAAAGGAGAGAGAGAGAGAGAGAGAGAGAGAGAGAGAGAGAGAGAGAGAGAGCCACCGTTTGGTCCAGCGTATCTCTCGGTAGCTAACGCCGTTTGGTCGTTAGCATCTATTTTCCCCATGTCCTCTTATCCTCCCCCTGATGTTTCCTAATGCGCCTTGCTCCAATCTGGATTTGCTCCCCTACGTTCTGCTCCGTTTCGCTCGGATCTGCGGCTTGCCTTCAAATCTTCATTGTTTACCTTTTAATTATAAGGTTGAAAATCGAAAACAACGCAATGCACTTGCAATACTTCGTTATTAATTTACAATAATTACTGTAATGTTTGAAAATTTTTTTTAAAGATATGAAGCTTTTTAAAAAAAAAGTTTAAGACCGTGGCTTTATACTCGGAGATTTTAAATCCGCGGGATAGCCTGCTAACTCATAAAATGCGGTCACAATTGCGACATCGCGGAGTCAAGTCGATTGTCCATAAAGAGCAACGACGTTATTACGACATATTGTTGAGTTTGCGTCGTAGTATTATTAAAGTATACTAGGTGGAAACATACAGCCAGTTAACTTATTATTTCGCAGCGACGAACCTGATCGACCTGATTTAATTCCGACGGAACGGAATGGCTAATTAGCGCGAATTATTATTATTGCGATGAGCGAGCGATAATCGGCGGCCGATAATACGTGCCGATTCGGGATACCTTTATCCGGTCGCGATCCGGTACGAATTATTATGACCGTAGGTACAAGGTGCAAGTAGACATTATGGAATCTTATCAACGCGCTTTAATCGCGATGGTCTTATCCCTTAACGAGCATTCCCGATCGGTATCCCCTGGTTATCGGTCCTGGAAATCACGTTCGTACAACGTAGCTGTACTCGTGATTACACATTTCGTTGTACAAAGGAAGCATCAGCAGGGGCGTTCAGAGGGATGGAAATACTAAAATGCGAGGGGTGTCGAGTTTGCACCGAAAGCAGGCTGGTTACGAAACGAAGAGAATATTGTTTTAATTCCAAGACGATTCTAGAACGCATTGAAACGAAACAAAAGGGGCGGAGCGAGGAAACGAGACAAATGCCAAAGTAGAATCTGCTAGAAAGTAAAAAGGAACTATAAGCTGCGGAGACGGACGCTAATGACTACGGTGGCACTTAGCTAGCGAGAGAGAAGTGAACGTAAAGGATCAAATTCCGTCTTGCTGTCGTGATAATTTCGTCTTGCCCGGCACGTACATTGTTTACGTAAGGAATACAAGATATAGGTGCGACAGATCATCGCGGGTAGGTCTTGCACTTGCGACGTCGCGGACAAGTTATTCTATGCCAAAGTACAATGTTGCCCGAAATCTCAACATAGAGCATATTTCAATATCTCGAAATGGTAAACGCACGAAGAAGAAATTTTATTATTACTCATCAGCGCCGACGATACAGAAAATTCTCAACATTTCCAATATGACGAACGCGATCTTCGATCGATGTTGGCGATTTTAATTCTAACGCGAGAGAGATCGCGAAAGAAAGTTGGCGAAATTTAAAGGAACTCGAAGGAACCTGAACTCAGTGTTATGAGTTCAGCAGCAACGCTAAAGTAACAAATCTCACCGCGGATGAGCCATTATGCTCAAAGGCAGTGCGCCAGGCATTTCGCCGGCGCATTGGCCGCTTTGAATTCAGATTGCACGGCCATGCGGCCTCCGCGTTTTTGTTCTTCCTCTTTCGCAGGCAATTTATGCAATCTGGCCCGCGTCGTGCGCGTATTTATAACCGCCGGCCCTTTGTGTGTTAATTTGTATTTGCGTATCTCGCGTGGAAAAGGTACCGAATGAATTGTCCCCCCCCCCTCTCTTTTTTTTTGATCGATCCGACGTTGTACGTTGTCTTTTCACTATCAGATTTCTTGACTTGCGGAAAAGCAGGTATTAATAAACGTTGCTGTGCGATTTAAAGTATTCAGCATGGATATATTAATTGAAAACTTATTTTGAAATTATTTTTTATCAATGAGAGAGAAGAAGATTTTATGTTGCTATAGAAAACTATACAAAATATATTTGCAACTTTTTTAATTAAAATATTATTTTTAAAACAGCACATTTGAGAGTTTCATTCTTGGTTTTGATTATATTATATAGTACTTATAGAAGTATTACATAGAATATTTAATATATTAATGAAACAATGCTAATAAAAATAATCGAATTAATTTCCTCTTTAGTTAATATTTCAGTGTATAAAAATTGCTATGTATAAATGTTATTTTGTCTTTAAAAGGACCAAAGAGACGCGCGTGGTATGCGTAGAAAAAATAACACAGCGGCGGGAAAAGATCCGCGCCGCGAATGATCGACTTTGATCTCCGCGGTTTTTATAGAAGCATCTCGCGTCGCGAGTTGAGCTTTCGCGGCTGTCGCGACTCTTCCGCGGAAATCCCACAGAAATTGGAGCGAGATGCCGTCGAGAGATGCGAGGATTTCAGCGAGCGAGCGGCCTCTTCGCGTCTCGCATCTCGAGAGGTGCAACGCACTCGTTCGAATAAAAGTTCCACGAAGAGAGGCGGCCGCTCTCTCGAATTGGCCCCTAATTTCTTCCCCATAACTAAGGAGGCGCACTTTATGACCGGCGGCACCCTTTTTCTGTTGCAGCGTTGAAGGTGAAGCTCATGCTGAGGCGACCCATCAATCAGCTAGTTGCGCAAGGCATCATGCCACGTAAGTGTTGATCCGCTTGTTTATTACACCGTTTATATATACCTTTTTTTTTCTGCGCCACGCCGCGGAAAATTGCGCTCGTACGACTCGGGGCTGTTAAACTCTCGCTGATGATCGCGACGGTTGCGATCACCATAACTTTGATTACGACCATTATTGAACGTCACTGCCGGCTAAGTTTTTGCGATCACTTAAAAACATCTTCGTCAACACGTGGGGATCGATTGATACACGCACGAGTTAATTATCGCGTCATTTTCAAAGATTGTAAGAAATATAGGACCGATATCTAGGCCACTTCTAGATTGTAGTAAATTGCTCCGCAAACGATTAAACAAATTGGCAATTAGCGATCGTTTTTGTACGTTTTGTGAGATGAATTAGGTCACTTTCAAGTCGGTCAATTAATCTTTAAGTTAAATTGATCATTACTGGAAGAACACAAATTTTTTTTTTAATAAGGAAAATTAAATAGATTTTCTTTCAGAAAATTATTGAAATAAATTCTTTTATATATATATATGTTGCAACCAAAAATATTTAGCATTTCATTTTCTTTCGCTCTTTTACATATTCCCTGTGCGATTCGATCTCCCTACCGTTCGCCATGGACTAAAACAAACTAAACACCCATGACACGCGGTAAATGAAGTAGCAAAAGTAAAAACATGGGCGCGGCATACGGGTTTGCTCGCCGTGTTCGCTCCCGAAATCCCCGAAGCGATCAACAGTGTAAGAGCGGCAGTCTAGTTGACCGGTAGATTTACGACGGGTACCAAATGTTTACCAGAACGAGAGCACGAGCATCCAGTAATTATTTGGGTCACACCCTAAAATATTGCTCTTGTTACCGTACGCACGCCGGCGCGTTTATGGCGCCCGGTATATATCGTTTGGCTTGATGAAAATACGCGGTTTGATAGGCCCCGTTTGACTTTACACCGTGCCCGTGTATACACGCGTGTGCATTTCCATGCCACGCAGGGTTCATTCATCCGCGACTTTCTGGGATGGGAAAGGATTGTAAAATAAGCCTCGTACACAGTCGTATGCGCTTGAAAATAATACTCGTTTTCGTGGAAGTCGGTTATGTTATCAAGCCATTATTCTCTCGGAAATTGAGATTCTGCGAAACGTTTTTTGAAATTTTCCTCGCCCGTGATTATTATTGCTATTTATAGTTTTGGTTTAAATACTTTTAATTATTTGAAGATTCGTATAAAATTTAATAACTGTTCTCTTGCAATATCTGAAAGATGAATAAAAATTTAATTTTTTAAGTATATTAGACGCGTCGAAAGTTATACACTGGAAAGTTAAGAAAAGTTTGTTATACATAAATGCTATAAATGTCAAATCGAATGCAATTATATGATAATATGTTTACGATTTATGTTTATCACGATATCAAGTATCCGCAAAATTTATTACTTTCCTACAGCGAGATTTGCGCCAAATCGCCAAACATTACTATACAAACTGCGAGTGCAATGTGTAAATACAAATAGACTAATACGTTTTTCTGTCATGATGACAATCGTCGTGTAAAAGTTACGGTCTCTTATTTTCAAAATCTTGGGTCTATTCTAACTGTAGAAGATGACGTTTATTACAGCAAATTAACGAGGCACCCCTCAGACAGTTGATCTGAGATTAGAATAGACGTCGCAAGAACGTCAGACGTCTTTGAGTATGTCTCGTCGGGTCTCTGACATCTCGTTCTTGAAAAGGAACAAAATAACGATAGTTTCGGGAAGAAGGAAGCGAAAACGCGTGGCAACGCATTTCAATCGCGATACTATTTGAGAACAAAGCGAGAAACACATCGTGAAAATACGCATATTATAGATCGGTCTGTAAACCATCTTATGCAGCCTGCAATTTTAGCGCAAACTTTGAGCAACACGACGGAAACCCCTCTACTACTTTTTTTTTTTTTATTTGCCCTCCGTACCTTCGTAAAGGTACTACATAAATTCCCCGTAACGAGCCGAAGAATAATATCCGAGGGAACACGTTGCATCTCTCGCGGTCGTGACGATGCGCAAGGGAATTACATTCGCGATTAATCTCGAAGCCGCTAAAAAAAACCCGCGGCCGAGGAGGGAAAGAGTGCCCCGTTCCATGACGGTTGGGATGGAAACTTACGGCACGCGGTTAAAATACCAGGGCGCTCGTGTATTTTCACATTTCCGTTGCCACACTTCGGCGACGCGACGCGGCCGTAGGTACGTGTCTTTTATTCCGCGTAATGACGACGTCCGCGTCTACGTGCGTCGCACCGGCGGCATCCGCGTCCGGAAATAGTGGTAGGAATACACTTCGGGGATCATTTATCCACCGATTTAACGACGTTGGAGAATGCGAGAGCCAGGAGACGCGTCACGTTGACATCGAAATGGCGCCTTTGAGAGCCATCGTTCCGGAAATTGATGCGGCATGCGTCACTGTCGTGCACTGAGAAATTCGACATTTGTTTCTTTTTTTCTTTTCTTTTCTTTTTTTTTTTCTTTTTTTTTTTTTTATTATTATTATTAAGAAAAATTTATCCGCTCTGAAGAGCAAAAAAATTCGATCTAAAATTAGAAAGTAATGACAATCCCGTTTCGATTTCTTCCGTGATCACTGATTTTTCGCGCTGGGACTTTCAGCACGACATTTCAACGCGATGTTGTGCTTAAAAATTAATCGCACTCGATTACGAGCGAGTAAAGTACGATATGAAAGACATGCATGTTTTTTTTTTCTTGCACATGCAGCGTTGAAGACACCACCGGCGTTTCACGAGCAACGGAAGCAGTTGGAGCGGGCGAAGACGGGTGACCTGCTGAAGGCGAAGATCCAGCAGAGACCCGGGAGGGACGAGCTGGTCCGACAGCACATCCTCGAAGATGTAGGTCATGTAGATCCGAGTCTGGCCGAACGGCAGCGAATGCTGAAGAAGGCCAGGCTAGCCGATCAGCTCAACGATCAGCTCAGTCATCGACCTGGACCGCTCGAGCTCATCCAGAAGAACATCCTTCATACTGAAGAGCCCATCGAGAGAGCGGTCAAAGGTATCTCATGATAATTTCTAATGAAATAAAATACATACGAACGATATATAAGTGTGATATATATATATATATACGCGTAAAATCAACAAGTTTTGTATTTGTAATGTCTCACCAAGTTTAATTTCTGCGATCTTGAAGTCTTATCCTACGCCTACGGCGTTAACGCGATTTCTCATGATTATATTTTTTTTCTTCAGAGGGTCACATTCCCTTCAAGGCCACCTGTGAGGGGCAGGTGACGAAACCTCAGCACCCAGACCACTATATAACTTTTGAGGATGACTCCCAGAGCTCGGAGGGCGCGTCGTCTCCACAGCTGGAATCGCGATCATCGGATGTTCTGGAAACGGCGGCGGCTTCCGCGGGCATCGTCACGGTCTCCCTGAGCATACCGACGACCGGCGGTGCCGTCGTAGTCTCGTCAACGTCTCCCGTTTTCCAACAGACATCTTCGGAATCGACGATACAGACATTTGCTGAACTCTGCAACACCGTCGTAGGCACGCAGCAACAACAGCAACAGCAGAGTCAGCAACAAGTTCAACAGGGTCAGCAACACACATCTATCCAGGTAAGTTTGACATAAGAACTGTGAACTATGACGAAAATTAATCTCTTTATCATACACCGACACGTGTCGTCGAATTTTCTTTCTCTAAAATTACGTCAGTTTTTCGAGCTCGATCTCTAAATATCTATATCGACAATGAAAAAGTTAATCGGACGCGACGAAGATTAATTGCAACTCGCGACGATAATTCCGGTATTTAGGAGGTTGCCGACAATTATGTCGATGGCAATCGATACTGCATGTTGCTCGCATTGTGGAAGTTTGAAAAACCACCGTACGATCTCTCCCTCTTTTAATAGGCGCTAATGGCTCATCCAGAGAGTGGCCCACAAACGATCATCCCAGCATTGGCGCCGGCGCCGAGCCCAATGTCCCTGGGCTCGACGACGTCTAGCCTGAGCCCTCTGTCCAACATCTCGATAGCGTCGCCCCCGGCGCCGCCGCCAGCGGCGATCACCCCACGACCCCAACCGAGCCCGATAGCCGCCGCCGCAGCCACCACGTGCCAAAGGAGCGACGCCCCCGGGAAGGACAAGAACAGAAAGAAGTCGAAGACCAAGAGCCAGCCCAAGACCCGCACGATCAAGTTCCACGAGTATAAAGTAAGTTCACTTTCAATTTATTGTGTCAACATTTCGGCGATAAGAACAACTGTGTCATTCTGTGTGACTTGCACGAAGGAGAGCAGCGCGAGAGCGCGCATCGTTTTTCTTTTATCGCCGAGTTGCAAAATGATACTGTTGGCTCTTTCTCGTCGGGAGGTATCGATTTTATTACGCGGGGTATTATGTCTTCACAAAACGGCCATTGAATCGCAATGGAAGTTATTAAAGGGCATTCTCAAATCATCTGGGATTCTGACATCACTGTTCATATTCACCGATTCATCGCGTGAATCTTTAATATTTATTGCGTAACAGAAAGTTTAATGGTTGTTAATGGTTGGTGTGAAATTTTCGATTGTTAAAATTAGCACAGTATTTTTAGATCCTAATATTTTAAAAAGTTAATAATTTATAATAATATAGTATTAACTTAAAAACAATATCTGTCTTTTTAAGTTAATACTGTATTATTATAAATTATTAATTGAATTGATTTTTTTGAAATTTAATTGATTTTTTTTAACTTAATTGGGAACTGCAAACTTTGATCTTGATAATTTGAGGATTAGAAAATTATACTGAAATTATATTGAAATAGGAATTTATAGTGCTTTTATCTTCCTCTTTTTTTATATATAAAATTCCCCCTAATATTTTCGTTAGTACATTAAAACTATCCAAGTTTAAACTTGAATAAAAAAAAATGTTACTAGAAATGCTCCGTGGAGCAACGGGCCCGATAAACGCGGGTGAAACGCGATGCGCGAGGTGCAAAGTAGTTTTCGATCCGAACCAAAGAGGTACGACCAAAGTGTACACAGAGGCGCGCGATAATTATCGTGTACTCGGGACCGCCGGGTGGCACTACAAACTAGTTCTTGTGGCGGACTGCACACCGGCCAGTGTGGGCTAACGGAGGGCCGCATTTCGGCGTGGCAACCAGCCGAGGGGCAAAAAGACGAAAGGCGAATAAAAAGGACGACTCGAGAGCAAGAAGAGGTGGAGGTAGTCGCGAAGAAAGAGGCGGAGGACGAAGTAAAAACGAGCACGGAGCACGGATCGTGAATCTCGGCTCCCGTGAGCCGCCGCAGACAGCGGCGAAAAAGCGTAGGGCCCCTTCGGGGTCCCCCCCTTCGGTCTGAGGGAGTCTCAGAGGGAGATTGTATCGGGTGATTAACTCTGGCGATCTCCCCAGAGAAAAAGAGAGAAAGAGAGAGGGGGGGGTGGAGAGGAGGAAACGGGAGAGAGAGAGAGAGAGAGAGAGAGAGAGAGAGAGAGAGAGAGAGAGAGAGAGAGAGAGAGAGAGAGAGAGAG